AAAAAAAAAAAAAAAAAGAAAAAAAAAAAAAAAAAAAAAAAAAAAAAAAAAAAAAAAAAAATTATACAAATAATTTCTCGATTTGGCCGAGATTCGAAACATTTTTGACTAATTTAGCACAGATTTGAAATATTTCGGTTAGAATCTCGGTTAAAGAAATTTAGAATAGTTCATGTCTCAACTATGCCAATTTTGTTAAAATTATTTAACTATATCTTGTATTCAATTTTCTTTATTATGCATTTTAGTCGCACTTGATGATAGGAGTGAGAACATTAAAAAGCTATAAACTGCCCGTGAAACTCAAAGTGGGCCAAAATGAAAAAATATAACCTAAATATTTTTTTTACTTCTACATTTGTGCCAAATTAGAAAGAAATCGGAGTGTAACTTTTGGGTAAGTTTACTTGTTAGAGATGAAATAGGTTTAAAATAAGTAGGGCCAATAAAAATTTTTTTATTACAGTGTTTGAAAGATTATAAATTAATGAAAAATAAAACAAGACTCTGTTATATTCAATCAATATAAAATAAATGAAGGGGTTGCAAGAATCTCTTTATTTTTTGAAATATGAAATCGTGAAAAATATAAAGACATGAAAAATATTAATATCATAAAACTTTTGGAATCTTTAGATACACTTCAGATAAACTTTAGATATATTAGGTCATAAAACTTGATTTCCGATCGAAAAGAGATTGTTTTGATGATTGTGATTTGTCTTGATTTTAGGAGAGAAAAAGAGAGAATTTTGATCTCAACGATTTCAACGTTAAACGAATCTTTATCGACGCGACGCGCTCGGAGGCTTTCAAGGTTGGCGGTTTTCGTCGCGGCGTCAAAAAGCGAACGCGATCACGGCGCGTCTGGTACGGAATTAGCACCAAAATATCCGCTTAGCTCAGCCTCGCACCCGGTACACGGCGATTATTATCATTATTATTTCCACCGCGTCATTCCAATCGAAGTTAGGTGACTGGCGAAATCGAACTGTCAGAAGCGGCGCGTAAATTCGTCACGTTCCCTCGCGGTTAACCGCACCCGCTAATCTTTTTCCAGCGCTTTTAAAAGCCGCAGGCGGCAGCCGCCGCCGTCTCGCAAACGTCATCGGCCGTTTGCATACGTCCCTCCGCCTCCGATGAATCTCGCCTAACGTTCCGCAACACTTTCGACCTACGCCTCCGTCTAACCGTTCGACGTTTTTGGTAACGCGGAATGAGCGTCGTCGTTTGATACTTGAATAATGCCGGAGAAATTCTCTCAAATTTATCGCGCGCCTTTATCGTTTTCAACTTCTAAGCTAATATCGCCAATAAATTACTTCGTTGCAGCAGTTTCGAGCAAGAGCAGGTTTTGCACAAAGAAGCATCACCACCTTTTAAACACAAACGTGATTAATAAATATATCGGGTTGTTTGAAAAGTTCGCAGGGATTTTTACGAAAAACTTTAAGTCGACACCCCCACAATCGGGCACAGCTTTATTCTTTTCTTTTTTTTCGATAATCTTTTACCATTAAAAAATTAATTATGTTATATAATATATTATGTTTATATAATATATTATATAATATGTTATGTTTAATATATTATGTTTATATAATATATTATGGAATAAACTATTGAATAAAGATGATTCATGAATATCACGAGACAATCGACAATGGAAACTTCACGATTTTTTTTAACTATATTCATGAGTCAAATGTACTGTATTACGTCAATCATTGAATTTATATTATACAACAGTACAAAATTTTTTGTTATGTCGATGGAGCAGTAAATTTACTAAAAATTACACTCTAATTTCCATATTGCATTTTACATGACATATTGTTTTGAGTAAATTCTGATAAATTTTTTTAGAGAGCATTTTTTTATATTTTCGCACTTCATCATTCTACACGAAAAAAATATTGTAGTAAAAATTACAATCAAATTTTTGTCATCTTGGACTATATAGAATCATGATTGAAATTATTACACGATGAAAAGTATTCTGTATTCATGTTGAAATCAATCTGTATATAAAAATTTTCACATACTTATATATTAATTTAACATACTGTTGTTGTATTATTTTAATTATTCTGCATCGAGTTTATATTCATCAATCCTAAGTGACAAAATAACACAATTTATATGCAAATATATGAATTCGTGATGATATATTTTGTATGTAAAGTGCACACACGCACAACAATTTGTACTGTATATTTATTTATTTGCTTTGTGTTAAATTAACAGAAAATATTAAAGTGGGCAAATTGAGGTGGAAATAAATAAAATACTCGGTTTAAGTATTATATAAACAATACTCAGTTTAAATAAGGAGAATTTTGATTGAAGTAAACTGTACCCACCTAATAAATATTTGTTAATTTTTAATATCTTTTTCTCAGTATGTCTATCTGAAAAGATATGCCCAACCATAAAAGTATCGATTTTGAATTCCTCGTAAAGATCCCTTTGAACTTATCAAACAGCCAAATAATACTTGAATTTCTACCTTCTCAGAGCATCTTCGATCTGTCAGGAGCATCAGATAACAAAGAGCACACGTGAATTACTTGTTGAATTACACGCATCAAGGGTGTACAGTCTCGCGCCGTCATAATTAAACCCAATCCAATATTAATTCGATCTAAATGGCACGCCGCGCGCACGGATGAGACTGATAGCAAACTCATTGCCGATTTATCTGGAATCTGAATTCGTTAATTGCCAAGGCCGTTGCATGCCGTAACGATAACGATTTCGCGTTGCAGGACGAAAGAAACGATGACTGGGGGCATTAGATAGATCACGAGAGGCTAGACCGGCAAA